CTTACAGGAATGTGGCTTTAGCCATCTACCAGGATCTTGTTTGCATAACTGGAATGTGCCCTGACCTGAAGCAGAAAAGATGCCCTTGTGATCCATGTAATTTTCTAAGAAAATTTGTTTCAACCTAAGCTGAGAACAGAGGAGCATCACTAGGGAGGGAACAAAGACATCTCTCAAGTCATTTGAAGGTGAAAATACTTCCATCGGAAGTACACTGATCTTAATTAAATATTAGCTGTAATTAGCCTAAAGTGCAAATGTTGGGAATATTAATTAGGGTCTCTCTGGAGTGGCTGTCAGTGTTAATAAGTAACTGTAGGGGGTCCTGCCAACATCTGTTTGAAACCTCCAGGTAAAAGAGGCATAAAGAGCCCCAATGTACCTAAATGCTGTCCACTTGGTTCTCACTGATTTGTTCTTCAGGGCTTGACACCTCATGTCTGCCAGAGTGGTGAAATCTTGAGAGACTCAGAAATGCTGGCTCCAGAGTACTCTGAGCTGGTCCTTGCCTTTCTTATGATAGACTCAGAATACTCTTAATGCAGGCCTCAACTTGAGATGGAACAGAGGTTTCCCATACCGCTGTAACACCAGGTAGCCAGGGTCACCTTTTGCATCTAGCCAACAGAATCAGAGTTATCTCACACCCAACACCTCAACATCTGGCCTCCCCACCCTAGGAGGCGAAACAGCTTTGAGTAACGTGATGTTTGTTACGAAGAGGAGTATGGTCATTTCACAAACTAAACTGACGTCCACAGCAGATGATTCTCTTGCACAATGAAAGTTGAACTGGATCTGAGTTCAATGCCTGGCTTTCTCATGAATGGCCTGTGTCCTGGATCTAGATCTTGAGTGATCTTTTTAAAAAGTCTGTTCTAGATGAAACATTTCTGACTACTAAATTAAAGGGGTCTAGTATATGCAAAACAAGAATTCTAAACATTAGTTGTATTAGCCTTAGAGATCCATGGGTAGTTCTTCATGAGAAAAGGGCCTAGTTTTTACACTCCTGGGATATGGCAGATTACTGCTACCCAAGAAATAAATGTAAGAGACATTTTGAGCTGTGACAGCTCAGTCTCCAGTCATTGCCTCAAATCTCCTTGGAGTTTTCATATCTGTGTAAGAACTGTTGACAAAGTACCAATCTGGTGAGGAGCCATGTTGCTTAGCTTGTTCTCTGAGGACCAGTGAGTAGAAGGGACAGTCTGTGTAGTGTGTATGTGTGTGCAGTGTGTGTGGGTGTGCGAGGGTGTGTGCGGGTGTGTGCAATGTGTTCACCTAAGATTATAATAACACATCTAGTGAAGGAAATAAAATTCCAGAAAAGAGATTCTAAATTATTATTTGTATAGTAATCACTGTTGTCAATATGAAGAAGTAGCCAGGATTATCTGTTTGTTTTTTGTTTTGTTTTGTTTTGTTTGTTTGTTTAGACAGGATATGTCCCTTTTCTTTGCTTTCCATGTGGCTGTTAGCCTCATATCCTGCTCAAACTCTTAGTACAATAATAATGGTTCTTTAGCTGGGTTTACCATATCTAATGCGTTCTATTATAGCTGCTGAAAACATTTTTTATACACAGGTCCAGACAGTAAATAGTTCAGATTTTGAGGGTCAAGTAGTCTCTGTCACAACTAACCAACCCTGTGCTTGATGTATAAAAGCAGCTGTAAACAATTTGTTAAACAAATGAACCCATTTATTGGATTATGTTCCAATAAAACCTCATTAAAATGAGCAGTGGACCTGGCTTGAGCTATAAATTGTTTGCCAAGACAGCTCTATAGAATACATTCTTGAGTCCCCCAAAGGAGAAAAAGTACTAAAAGTCCATAACAAAACAGTACAGGGTATATATAGGTTGGGCCCTTTGGATCTTACGTGATAAAAATCCACCTTAGAGAAGACACAATAGCAGGGCCTGGAGGCTCATGTCTATAATCTCAGCTACTCAGAACACAGATAGGAGAATGACAAGTTCAAGGCCTACCTGATGACTCTGTGAAATGACACCCTGTGTCAAAATGAAAAGTAAAGCCAGGTAGTGGTGGTACACACCTTTAACCCTAGCACGTAGCAGGTAGAGTCAGGCAAATCTCTGAGATCGAGGCCAGCTTTGTCTACAAAGTAAGCTCCAGGACAGTCAGGGCTGCAAAAAAAAAAAAAAACAAAAAAACAAAAAAACAAAAAAACAAACAAAAAAAAAAAAACCTGTCTCAAACACTAAACGAGAGAAAAAGGGGAAAAGGGGAAGGGTACAACTCAGTGCTAGAGCATTTGGCCAGCATGTGAGATCCTGGATTTTAATCACTGATAAAGAGGGAACAAAGGAAAAATAAGATTTTGAAAGTTTGAATTATGCATGATGAAGCTGCTCCAGGGAGGTAAAATGCAGAATTGAGATGATGGTTTAAAAAGTCATATATGATTCTAGGAAGACACATCTTCAGTATGATTTCCCCCAAACACATGAACACATGGGCATGTACCAAATGGTAACTGCACAGAGGCATCGGAGAAGCTGATGGTCTGGAGAAGAGGGGCCTTCTCACATTGTCTGTATGTATGAAAACACCAAGTCGTGCCTCTTAAATACATCCATTTTTATGTTAAGGATAACTTAATTAAGATATTGGAAAAAAGAATATATGTCCCTTCTTGTAATTCAAAACAGGATTGTCCCTAGCTGCCCCTGCAGATCTCTTGTCTTGACCTGATGTCACCAAGACCTGAATGCTTCTCCTGTTTCCCACAGCAACTTGGAACCATTTTGTTCTGTGTAACCTCACCAGCACACAGGTCCCCTTCAAGTGGCACCCCTTGGCAGCCCCAGGCTTACACTATTACAGTCTTTTATTATTCCTACTACTATTTCACAGAGGAAAGAAAGCTTCCCAAATACTGTAGCAACATCGCAGGCTGACAAGAACTCTTTAGTATGATTAGGAAGAAAATGGAAGTGTTTGCTAAATAGAAGGGCAGGAGCCTGCCCTGGGATTGGCAGCTGGTGTAATGTGGCTGAGTCTGGTGGTAAGCCAGAGCAGGGCCAGAGGATAGCCCCTTCTGCACTTCATTGGCTAACGGTGAATGCCCTTCAAAGTGGAAGCGGAGAACACATCTTTGAAGAATTAAGTGTTGAATCTGAGCATACAGTGACAGTAAATGACCTCTCCTGGTGTTCAGTGAGCTTATGTAGCCACCTAACCTCAGCCATGGCTGACCTACTGCTGTACCCAATGCTGTAGTAAAATGGTCAGAACAAGAGAAAGCATGCTTTTTTTCCTAGTGGCACAGGTGTCGGAACTGTTATGGAGGAAGAAAAGGCTGGGGGAATGCATTCCTTGTGAAAGTCTTTACACTTATGCTAAGTTTCCTTCTCTTACAAGTGCCATCTTCAACAGTGCACAATTGATGGGCCTCTCTATAAACAAAGGCATGGGCTCTGTATTTGTGCTTTGCTCAGGTTTCAGTAGCAGAGGCTGTTTCCTGTTGGCAACACACATTGATCTTCGTGTCCTGGAATCCTTGCAGGATAGTTAAAGTCACTTGTAGCTGACTATAGAAAATGGGAAAGACCACTATTTGCTGAGCTTAATTGCCTGCCTCTCTTCCTTCCTTTCTTCCTTCCTTCCTTCTTTCCTTTCTTTCTTTCTTTCTTTCTGACTGTAAAACTACATCTCTTGAAACCATGGACATTTTAGCCCTCTGGACTACTGTTTCTTATGCTTTCTGCATATGTGTATGCAAAGTGTGTGAAGGATGGTGGAGTTATGGGGGTGGAGGTGGAGGGAGGGAGATGTTTCCAGAAATGGAAACATTTGAATTCAAGTTTTTTTAAAATTCTTTTGACTTGACTGTAATTATCATATTGCATGTTTAGGCTATAACTGAAGGGTGAATTGTTATATAATGCCCTGTACTTATATATTAAAAGAAGACAGAATTGGGGGGAGGGAGGTTGATTAATGAGGCTCAGAGTTAAATCATGTATCTGAAAGGGGGAAAGTAGGAATATCACAGGAGGTCTCTGAATTAAGCCCTAAATTTCCATTGGCTGCTTTTAATCACTACTGGGGCCATCACAGAAATGTACACAACAACAACAAGCACACACACACATAAAAACAAAACAAAACAAAACAAAAAACCCACAAAACAACACACACACACCAGTAAGATCTTTACTGGGACATTTCCAGACCAATTGGGGAAAGTTGAATTCAGTCCAAATACTTCTCTCATACACATAATCAAGTAGTTTAACTATTCTTTTTTTAAATTTTTTTATTATTATTAATTATACTTTATTCATTTTGTATCCCCCCATAAGCCCCTCTCTCCTCCCCTCCCGATCCCACCCTTCCTTCCCTTTCTGTATGCATGCCCCTCCCCAAGTCCACTGATAGGGGAGGTCTTCCTCTCCTTCTTTCTGATCTTAGACTATCAGGTCTCATCAAAAGTGGCTGCATTGTCATCTTCTGTGGCCTGGTAAGGCTGCTCCCCCCTCAGGGGGAGGTGATCAACGAGCAGGCCAATCAGTTCATGTCAGAGACAGTCCCTCTTCCCCTTACTATGTAACCCACTTGGACACTGAACTGCCATGGGCTATATCTGAGCAGGGGTTCACTGTATCAAATCAGGACTCCACTGTCACCATATACAACACACGATGCTAACCTTTTCCAACACTGAGATGAAGCAAGGAGGATCTGCTGCTGATGTGCAGACCCTGGAGTCTCAGCAAGCTGGATCAGATGTCTTGGGGAAAGTGACTTCAGCATGTGCCTTGATTTTCCCACTTATAAATAAAAATATTGACGGTAATCATGTGCTCATAGCATGTGGTGAGGGTTAGCTGAGAGGCCAGCGTTTAGGACAGAATACCTTCAGCTGGACCCCAGAACGTGCTGGAATGTAGTCCCTGGGCTCTGGGGAAAAAGTTGTGGTTGAAGAGCTCTAATGGTGTTCTCCTTCCTTCTTTTCTCCTCCCTCAGGGTAATCAGGAAGCAGCGGCAGCCCCTGACACAATGGCTCAGCCTTATGCCTCAGCCCAGTTCGCTCCGCCTCAGAATGGCATCCCTGCAGAATACACGGCCCCTCATCCCCATCCCGCGCCAGAATACACCGGCCAGACCACCGTCCCCGACCACACATTAAACCTGTACCCTCCTACACAGACGCACTCGGAGCAGAGTGCTGACACAAGCGCGCAGACCGTCTCTGGCACCGCCACAGTAAGTGTCCTGGGACCTGGAGGTACTGTCTCTGAGCAGGTGCCCTGGGCCCTGCAGCTAGTAGTGCACTCTGTACCCTGTGTGTGCTGCGGATTAAAGCTTAAGCAAAGCAGCTCTAAGCTTCTCCTCATACCATCAGTTTCCCAGAGGGTTCCTTAACAGTTGGACATCCCTCTCCATGACTTAGAACATGTTTTCATTAGCTGTATTAATTTGTAAAAGGACACAGGCATCTATTCTCTCTGTCTCTAAAATGCTGAGTTCTCTACAATGTTATCCCAGTGTACTGCATACTTTTTTAATTTAATTTTATTTTATTAATTACACTTTATTCACTTTGTATCCCCCCATAAGCTCCTCCCTCCTCCCCTCCCGGGCCCACCCTCCCTCCCCCTTCTTCACGCATGCCCCTCCCCAAGTCCACTGATAGGGGAGGTCCTCCTCTCCTTCATCTGATCTTAGTCTGTGGGATCACATCAGGAGTGGGTGCCTCGTCATCATCTCATGAAAACGTGGGAGTCTGAGGATGTAACTGCAAGGTAGAGCACTTGCCCAGCATCTCAGGCTCTTGGGTTCAATTTCCAGCACTGCAAAGCAGGCAATAACAAAAAACACAACGTGGACACATACAGATACGCAGATTTGCTCATTTGTGAGTGTATGATTTGCTGATTTGGAGAGCGCTTACAAAGCTGTGCAACCATTGCCAAAATTAGATTTTAGAACATTTTTACAAGCCTTAAAACCAGCTTGAGCCAGGTGTGGTGGTGCACATTTGTAATTACAGCACTCAGGGAGGCAGAGGCAGAGGCAGAGGCAGGCAGATGTCTATGAGTTCGAGGCCAGCCTGGTCTACAAAGCGAGTCTAGGACAGTAAAAGCTATACAGAGGAACCCTGTCTTGAAAAAACTAAAACAAACCAACAAACAAAATAAAGCTTATACCCATTTCCAGACTAGCCATCTTCATCCTAGGGTGAGTGCCATTGAGACTTATTTATATTATATCTTACGTGTCCATGCCTTCTGATGTGTTATTTGTTGCATCATGTCTCAAGTAATCCAGGCTGGCCTGCAGCTTCCTAGGCAGGCGAATATGACCTTCTGCTTCTCCCCTCTGTACCTCTCAAGGGCTGGATTACAGGGTGTACCACCATGTCTAGTATATGCAATGTTAAGGCTAGAGCCAGGGTTTTGTGCATTCCAGGCAGGCATTCTACCAACTAAGCTATACCATTCAGCTGTAGTTTGTGGGGTTCTGTTGCTGGTACATAAGGAAGGGATAGATGTGAGAGAGTAGTAGCTGGATAGGAAAACTGTTTGGTTATAAACACAATATAAACAGAAAGTTGGATTGGATGGATTAGAAATAAGCAAACACAGAAAAAAAAAGATACATTATATCGCCACCCTATTACAACTAGTATATTGGACCAGTAATCAAATCTGACCATGGACATCAATAATTACATTAAAATTAGATGGTGCACATCAGTGAGCCACCTATGATAACTAAGGATCCAGAAATGTATGTAGTCCATATCGACAAGAACTTCCTTTGCAAAATTTCTTAGACAGGTGGATGCACATCATGTCCAGCTTTGAGCCTTTAACAAGTATAAGGTAATGCTGTTTCCCTTCTACCCTCAAGGTCCAGAACGAGAATGCTGACACTGTAACCTGTAAGGGCACATGATACATTCTGTGAAGTGTAGCAAATCACTGGGTAATCTTGCAAGACACTAATGGTAGCATATACTCTGATACTTTCTAATGCCTCCACCCTATTTTTTGTTGCTCTTTCTATAAAATGTACATATCACCTATAATTAGTGTCTAGGATATTAAATTTGGAGGCATTGGTACATTCTGAGAGACTTCAGCCACCCCTAGCAAAAGCAAATTCTTCCATCTCCCACTCCCTGCCAGTCCTTCATTCCCCTAGTAGACGGACTGTCGGCCACCCATCTGCTTTCTAACCTGCATGATTTGTCTCTCAGCCAGAGTCCTATACTACAAGGCCATGGGGTTCTGCTCTTTTCACTGGGTTTTAATGTTGGCATTGGTATTCTATTGTGTGCACAGTATTCACTACTGATATAGTCTTCTGCTGAGGCCCTTTGGGGTGCGTCTTCCTTCTCAGTATTGGGAACATTGCTGCTGTCTCCTAGTGGTATTTGGCTGGCCTGCCTTGGCAATGTGTGCATTAGATTGGTTATCTTGTTTAGCAGGTTTTTGTAGCAGTAATGTTGACCAATAGGTAGTATCTAGTGATGCAACATAGACAACACAAATATTTGCCCATAGATAAACAGCTTGTAGTATGAAATAGTACTCAACAATGCTAAGTACTGAGCTTTTACACCTTCAGTTGTGTAGATGAAGATAACAATACTGAGTAACTGAACAAAAGGAGAAAAATAAAAGGAGTGGTTGTTTGTTATTTGTTGATAATCTTATGATGATCAGGGGTGGTAGAACCTGAGTATGTTCTTTTAGAACTTATAAAATTCTGAATTCAGTAATAATTTTTAAGCTAACCCTGAGATAGTGAGGCCTATAATATGAGGAGGTACTGAGTGACATACATGGAATAACCAGATTAGAAATTGAACCAGGTTGAGTGTGGGGCCATGGAAACTGAGGCCTGAATTTGGAACTTGTTGATTGGCAGTATGGACATCAATGAAGGCCTGTAAGCATGAAATTTTTCTTTTCTTTTCTTTTCTTTTCTTTTCTTTTCTTTTCTTTTCTT